TCCGGGTGCCTTTCTGGGTGGAGTTTGCATGTTCTCTCCGTGCATGCATGGGTTTTCTCCAGGTACTCCGGTTTCCTCCCACCAACCAAAAACATGCATGTTAGGCTGATTGGTAACTCTAAATTGTACCTAGGTGTGAGTGAGAGAGTGAGTGGTTGTCTCGATTGTCTCTATGTGGGCCTGTGATGGACTTGCGACCTGTCCAGGGTGTACCCCACCTCTCGCACAGTGATTGCTGGACATGGGCATCGGCACACAACCCAAAAAGGAATAAGTGGGTAAAGATAATGAATGGATGGATGTTTCACAAATTTTATTTATCTGAAATAAAACATTTTACCAGTCTAATCTGACTATATACATATTTAGGCCAAAAGTCTTCATTTTTTATTTATTTTCAGCAACATGTTTGACAGAGGTTGAATGCCAACAAAATGACTGACAAGTTGTTTTACACAAGTCAGTAAGTAGTGTCTGACAGGTGAGAGTGAAGTAATGAGGACAAAAGAAATTCAGCAAACGTTGACTGAAGCCAGCATCAATAGAGCTTGTTGAGAAAATTAATAGTAAATAGACTGACTTATATAGCACTTTTCTATCTTATAAAGATACTCAAAGTGCTTTACAACACAATTTGTGCCCTCATCTACCCATTCATACAGTTCAATTCAATTCAATTCAGTTTATTTATATAGCGCCAAATCACAACAAAGTTGTCTCAGGGCACTTTACAGGAACATTCATACAGGACTCTACTAGATCTGTACAAAGAATAATCAGTGCTTTATTACATTTATACACAGATGTACACATCACATTCACATCGGAGGCAATGAGGGGTTCAGTGTCTTGCCCAGGGACACTTTGGCATGTGACTGCTGGTGGAATCGAACCCCCAACTCTTGCATTGGAGGACAACTGCTCTAACCACTCAGCCACAGCTACCCCAAAATTAATGACTAACAAAAAGTGATTTTTTTACTTGACAAGAATCCAAGAACCAAATGTTTGGAAAATTGAATTTTGTTTCTTGTTCTGAGGTAACAATACGCAAATTCTGAGTTTGTTAAAATCTCATTGTGGTTTTTTGCAGGTTGCAGCCCAGCAGGCAGAGTCAGCGTCCACCCAGAAGGCGGAGAAGGAGGTATCGAGGATGATCATTGTCATGGTTGGGTCCTTCGTCAGCTGTTACGGTCCGTACGCTCTGACAGCTATTTACTACGCTTATTCTCAAGATGAGAACAAAGATTACCGTCTCGTCACCATCCCAGCATTTTTCTCTAAGAGTTCTTGTGTTTACAACCCACTGATCTACGCCTTCATGAACAAACAGGTGAGGACAGTAAAATCACCCCACACTTTCATTACCCTATATTTTTAAGAACAATTTCTTGAATATTTCCTGCATTTATGTGGTTACTGGTCCAATCATAAGTACTACTCTCCATTTTAATGATATAAGATACTAGTTCTGTAGCCATAATTTAATCCTCTAAATCCTCCCAGATCAGTGCAGGTGAATAAAAATAACTTCTCCATTTTTCAGTTTAACGGCTGCATTATGGAAATGGTGTTTGGCAAGAAGATGGAGGAAACATCTGAAGTGTCTTCAAAGACTGAGGTGTCCACAACTTCCTAATGTGTGGAGCAAACTCTGAAGGACTTTTGACTCACCAAATGAACTTTTAATGGTTTGAGTTTGGAGGATTCACGGTAAACCCAGAAAATGGATTTCTGACAAACATGTAAATACAGTTTATACTAAAACTTCAGCATCAACTGCTGAGATTTATTTTATTGTAGAGCGTATTTATTTAGGCAAAAGGCAACAAAAAAAGAAATAAAAATACTGAATTTGTCTGCTTTCACTTTTTTTAAAAGTCAAGGAGTAAAAAAAACTCTTCAGACATATTGGAAGTTTACAATTTTTACATTGATATGTGTTCCAATGAAACAATATTAAAACTATTAATACTTTGTAGAAAAATCCAAAACAAGGAGGATCTGTGATGTTTCTGTCAATGTCAATTTATTTATACATCATATAATAACAACAAATATCATGATCTGCAGTTTAATGGTTTGAACCCACGTGCAGGAAAAACATGAGGACTCGATAGTGAACAATAACTAATAATTTATTGAACAAAACAAAATGCTGACGGGGCAGCAAAACTTACTTCGAATATAATACAATAGGTGGAGCAGACACAGACCATAACACCGTGGAAGGATAAAGCACGGATACGAAAGGAGTGAAAACACACAGTCTAAATACTGACACTGATGAGACAATGAGGAGCACCTGGGGTGATTTAGAATAAGGATCAGCTGTGGATGATGACATGGGGAACAGAGGTGCAGGAAAACAGAAAGAGAACCATGTCAACAAAAGTTGACCAAAGTGCTTTACAATTTAGTCAATTTAAAATGAAAACAAAAAGAACAAGAAAATTATATTTTCTCACTAAGGACACATACAAAAGTTAACAATAAAATACAACACACAAAAACAAGAAAAATCCATGATGATGTTAAAATTCATAATCACAAGTTTTCACAAGAGAAAGAAAAAATAAGTACAATTAGAATTAAAGTGAATTTTCAGCTTGAACACCACCATCATATTAACAATCAATTAACAATCATAAAACAGAAGCTTTTTAAATGTATAATACCAGATTTAACTGGATATATTTAAAATAGAAGTAAAAATTACTGTTCATGAACAGAATGTTTTCATTCTAATGATCAGGACTATTGACACACCTTGTCAAGTCATTGCTTGTCAAGCCTGCTCATATGTTTCTAAAACTCTTAACTTCAAGGTAAATCCTAACTGTATATTTCTGAAACTCCCCATTGTGGTAAAGCCTGACCCTCTTCTTCTTTGGGCTTTTCCCTCTTCAGCAGTCTCCACAGCGAGTCATCCTGCCCTTTGTGTCCTCTGTCCTCACTTTAACTACCTCCATGTCCTCTCTAACTGCATCCATATATCTCTTTGTCTTTTTCCTGGCAGCTTCATTTCTATCATCCTTCTACCAATACACAAATTGTCCCTGCTCTGGACATGTCCAAACCACTGTCTTTCCTCTGTAAAAATCCAAACCACTGTCTCTCCTCTGGACATGTCCAAATCATTTCAGTCTGGCCTCTAACTTTATCTCTTAGTTGTTCAACTTGTGCTGTACCTCTGATGATCTCATTCCTAATCTTGTCCATCCTTGTCACTCCTAAGAATAACCTCAGCATCTTCATTTATACCACTCCCAGTTCTGTCTCCTGTCTTTTTGTCCATGTCTTTGTCTCCAGACCATACAACATAGCTGGTCTCACCACTGTCTTGTAAACTTTTCTTTTGACCTTTGCTGACACTCTTTTGTTGCAAATCACTCTTAAAACTTTTCTCCATCCACTCCATACTGTCTGGACTCTCTTTTACCCCTCTTTACCACACCCCATTTTCCTGGACAGTGGATCTCAAGTCCTTGAAGCCTTTTGCTTTTGTGACCTCTGCTTCTTGTAGCCTCATTGGTCCACCTGTCTCCTTCTCATTCCCACAAACATGTACTCTGTCTTACTATGGCTGACTTTCATTCCTGTCATTCAAGTGCATACATCCACCACTCTAAGTTATCTTTCACCAGTTTCCTGCTCTCACTACAGATCACAATGTCATCTGCAAACATTTTAGTCCACAGGGATTCCTGCCTGACCTCATCTGTTAGTAGTAATGTTGTAGTCAAGCCCACCTAACCCGAGACCAAGTCAAGACCAAGACCAGCGTGTACAGAGACAAGACCAATACTTTTAGGGCCTGAGACCAAGTTGAGACTAAGACCAAGGTAGGGCGAGACCAAGTCGAGACTAAGACCTCAAATAAAACATAAAATGTTATTATAATTTTTTTAAATAAAAGTTAATACTGCAACTTTAAGTTTGCTTTTGAATTAATATATCAGATTTACAAATTTTCAAAGCTACATAACAAAGAACTCAAACATTCAGTGATCTAACTTCGTGTGATTCAACAATAAAATTAGACAACAGTTAAACTGGAATCAGTTTCGTCACATGCCAAGCCTTAAAAAACTGCAGAGGCAAAACGCTCACCATAGGTCTGAACTCAAGACAAAGGATAACCATAAATGCACAATGGTTTCAGTAAAGCAGTAGATATACAAAAAACAAAAAAGTCCACGCTCAATAATCCAGGTAAAAAATCCAAAAATTTTCAGTCAAGTCATCTGGACAGTTTCTTTTTTGCTGAAATGTTTCACCTTCTTTATGGAAGGCTTCATCAGTCAAGGAAACACAACACAAAACTGATTCTTCCCCCAAACAGCTTACTTCAAAGGGGAACAAATCAGTTATGTTAGTGCTAAGATGGTGTCTTTGGCATGCCCCTTCCTCTTTTGCCAGCCCTCTTCCTCCTCGACAGTCATGTCAAACTGGTTCAAAACCAAAAAGGTCCACGCTCAATAATCCAGGTATACAATCCATTAATTTTCAGTCATGTCATCTGGACAGTTTCTTTTTTGCTGAAACATTTCACCTTCCATCCGGAAGGCTTCATCAGTCAAGGAAACATACAACACTAAACTGATTCTTACCACTATCAGCTTACTCCAAAGTGAAACCAACCAGTTATGTTAGTGCTAAGATGGTGTCTTTGGCATGCCCCTTCCTCTTGTGCTGGCCCTCTTCCTCCTCGACAGTCATGTTTAAACTGGTTCAAAACCAAAAAAGTCCACGCTCAATATTCCAAGTATACAATCCAACAATTTTGAGTCAAGTCATCTGGACAGTTTCTTTTTTTGCTGAAACGTTTCAGCTTCCATCCGGAAGGCTTCATCAGTCAAGGAAATACGCAACACAAAACTGATTCTTCCCCGAAACAGATTCATTCATTTTTCTGGACTGAATAATATCGTGCATTGAAATTAAATGTGACGTGAGACGTTAATTTTCTTTGACCCATCAAATGAATGCGGTCATTTATTAACAGAATCAAAGTTTAACATCACACATTTACATTAATTTGGCAAATTGATTTCAACAACAGCTTAATTAATTAGCTTTACAGTTAGAAAACCATACGGCCATGATTTCCTCACTTCAAGCATTACAACAGACATTTCTGAAAATATCTGGATTAATTACTAGCAAGATAGAAGAGTTTAAAGATGGAAATGAAGTTTAAATTGAGAGAGATGGGTGAGGGAATTTGTCTGTCATAACCAGAACAACACGCTCCTTTGGACCCAGCTTAACCAACGGTACACTTTGCGGTTGAAGATCGACTCTTTTACCTTTGCAGACGATAGTTCGGCCTCGGTGTAGAGTTGTCTTTCAACGCTTTACAGCGTCTCCATAAGGATAGTAAGGAACCGTTCGGAGTCGTGAGATCATCCCAGAACAGACTTCTTCATAGTTCCTCTGAACTTCTCTCGTTCAGCTCAGTTGCAGTTGTTCTCCAGCATTCTGAACTCTGCATTCTCTCTCCGCACTCTCCCCGCACTCTACTGCACTCTTCTGCACTCTTCATTCTCTATTCCAGCATTCCCAGCATTCTGAACTCTGCATTCTCTCTCCGCACTCTCCCCGCACTCTACTGCACTCTGGATTCTCTATTCCAGCATACTCCCACACTCTCACAGCGTTCTCCCTTCCACTAGGAAGTGTTGAACCTTTTAAGGAGTTCTGTTTCCGGTTCATTTTGAGAACTTCCTGATTGGTCGATCGAACAGGGGGTGGTTTTAGTGATGTAAGAGGTTATTAAAAGTCAAGGAAAAAGATTAAGTTTGTTTAAGAACAGAGAAAATGTTTTGAAGGACTTGAGACTTCGTGGAGTCAGTTCTCTCATATCTTTCTGTAAAAGTTAAACATGACATTTCTTTCCAGTAAACTTACAGTTGACCGAAACTTGACCTTTGACCAACTTACACTTGCTCATTTCAGACAGAAGATCAAGAAAAATGAATAATTACTCTGTAACAGACCTTAACTTGATTTCTACTTTGAATGAGGATTAAAAATTCATTAATACTGTTTCACAGTTGATTTAAAATGAGTAGTTCACTTCAACATTTAAAATGGTTTGAACTAACACACTTTGATTATCAAGACATTTGTAAGATAGTAATGATAATAGAAAAAGAGAGTGTTCTTTCAATTGATCAGTGCAGGAAACTTAGAAAGTCTCTGGATGGACTTGATTTTGTGTTTCTGGACTCAAATCAATGAAATACAGTTCTTGTCCCAGGAAGGCCCTCAAGGTCAGGATTTGACCTGAGGCTTAGTTCACTACAGTCCCCTCTTTGGAAATCATCGCTTGTCCATGGGGATGAATTCCAACATGAACTTACGCCTTCGAATGTCCTTGAACTTGATGTAATCCAGCAAGGAAAACAAAAGTCAAAGGAGGTAATCCCACAATGTTTTTGGTAATTCCATTGTGTTGATGGTAATTCCATAATGTTGTTGGTAATTCCATTGTAGCAATGCTTTAACCCCTTGGAAACAGAGTCTGTAATCCATTGGAAAAAGTCATATAATCCACAACGGTAAATCCACAACGAATGGAGGTGTTGATTGATCAGCATACAGAGGGGTTCCCTTGGATTGAACTGAAGATGCGGCCACTGGATGAAGAGTGGAGACCAACGTCAGGATTGCAGGTCTCCTCCAGCGAAGGTCGTCTCTGGGCGACGTCCAGGGTGCCGTTTTGGTTCAAATGTGTTATGTAATTATGTGGTTTAAGGTGGGCTTATGAAGGGGATTTTACATAAGGCCTTAACCTATATGCACCTGGTGTGTAAGCTA